TGTTTGTACATATGCATACAGAGATGAATACCAAAATAATAATAATGGTTGACTACCAAAATAATAATATGGACCTCTATATGTGATTTGATTTCATTTGGCTGTACATCTTCTAAGCAGATGTGTTTGTTTCCATGGTATACATATACATTATTTTTGTCAACACCTTCATTTAGGCATCAGTTTTTCTGTAGGCTTCTTTATTTGTTGTCCAACTTGCATCTTCTGGGAAGATGAGATATTCCACATAAGTTTTTGTTATTTGCAAAACTCATGTATCTCCTTAACAAAAATGTCTATATTATAGCTAGTTTATATAACTGAATAGAACATATTGCAGCTGACCCATGAACAATACAGGTTTGAGCTCTGTGTTCCATTTATATGAGGAATTTTTTTTTCTTTTGGTATTGTGGGGAACTCAAGTGTTATTAAAGTATCTGCATAAAATGCCATGTGACACTAGTCATCTCCACTGTGCAATTCATCTCTAATATACAGAGGTAAAATGCGATTACAGTTGGTTAACATCACAGAGCATTAAGTGGACGAATATTAAGAGGACACCTGCAATACTTGGTGCTATAACATCAGGAAAAAAATCTTTACGTGGATCTCTGCAGTTCAAACCGGTGTTGAAGGTCCACTTTGTTTTGGGATGTGACAGAGTAGTGTGAGAATATGTAGGATGGAGCAACATTGGTAAATATGGATGAATTAACTGAGAATATGCAATAGAGATAATTTTCATTAGATTGTTGAATTTTGCTTTTCTTGCCATCATATTTAAAATTTTCCTTTAGTGATAAAAATTAGTTGTTCTGTGGAATATCATTATTTTTTCCCAAAATGTACAAAGGAGATTAAGGCTTAAATACTTGATTACATGTATTAAACATTTTAAAGTTATATTTATGTTCCTAGATTATTCTGATTTTATTTCTTCTTTTGTGTTTAATCAGATTCGTTCAATTGAAGGCCAGTATGGCACACTTCAAGCATATGTGACCCCAAGGATTCAACCCAAAACCTGTCAGGTCTGCCAGTACCAGATCAAACCCCTTTCACTTCATCAACGAACTCACTCTATTGATCATGACAGGTAGGACAAAGGAGATAGCAGTTTGTTTTCATGGTATCACACAATTAAGATAAATCCTTTTTCTTTTTAAAATGTATACTCTGGTAGCTCCTTGTACATTTTTTAACGTAAATATTTTAAATACTATAGATTTAATATTATTTTTTTTAATTAATAATTGAAGCCTTTATTAAATAGCTGGATCAAGAGTAGGCTAGCACCTGGAGCCCTTTCGACCCAGTACAAACACATTCGAGGATTTTTCTAGTTCTAAGTAGTG